CCCAGGGTCCTGGGGTCAGGGAGGGACTCAGACACAGAGGAGGGGGAAACAAGAGCTAACCCTGAAGGCTCCCTTGGCACTGGGATCACAGGTCCAAGGTCATGGTTTGTGGTACACACAGGCATGGAAATGCATGCAGATGCATGTGTGCGAGTGTGTGTGCGTGCACGCATGCAAGATGCACCCACATCCCCCTCCCTGGCCGCCGCGAGGCCCTGGAGCGGTAGCGCCCCAATCCTGGCTTCTAATTCCCTTTCTCCGTAAGTGGGAAGCGGGGTCCTGGGAGAAGTTCCCCGTCCGGGACTAGGGCGGGAAGAGCCCGTGAACCTGGGCCACCTGCTGCGCTAGAAAGGCAGGGGGCGCTCCTGGCGGGAGAGGTGACGACGGCACGGCCACCACCACGGAGGAGCCCCCGCCGGCCAGAGGTGGGGTCATCTGCGCAAGGAAGTGAGTCTCCTCAGAATGATTGACAGCCTACTGAATGCAACAGGCATGACGGCTCACGCTTTTCGAGATTAAGGAACCGTGAGCAGGACGGAGAACGGGGCATTTCCGCCATCTCAGGTCCCCTCCTTACAAAACACTTACGGAATTCCTAGAGCAGAGGAGGACTTGGCGGTGGGGACGCCCGGCGAGCCCACCGTAATCAGACGATCAAAGGTACCGCCGCCGGGAATGGGACAGAGCAGGCCGGGAGCCACCGGGCACACGCAGTGAGGACGCCAAGGAGCCTCTGCTGGGATCTTCCCGCCGGGGATGAAAGCCTCGGTTGACTCATGAGGAACATCACCACCCCCAGAGCGGAGGCGCCGAGGAAAGTGTCCTGTAACCCCCAGCCGCGAACGGAAGTCACCTTGTAACGCTGCCCCTGTATCTTTGGACCAAATTCCTGGAAGTGGTCTTGCCCTTGCTCAGTGAGAGGGTAAATACACAGGCAATTTTGCCGGACATTGAGCAGGGCAGCTGAGGCTGTAATTCCTCCACTTCCTCCAATACCCGGCAGCTGGCGAGTCTCAGCGTAGAGCCGATCCTCAGGGTAGGTCGTCGGCGACTGTGCTGCGGTGGGGAGTCCTCTCCTACTGTCCCCGAGGAACAGTTCCTCACATGTGGCTGGACTCCCCACGAGGCCAGAACTTAGAAGTTCTGCAAGCTGCGCGGCTCACACAGAACTTTACTGTCCTGTGATCTGGGGGCCCGACACGCAGGGTCAAGGTGCTGGCCAGCAGGTCCCCTCTGAGGCAGCGAGGCTGCTGCATCCCCTCAACGGGGCGCTACCTTTGTCCTCACGTGGTGTTCTTCCTGTGTGTGTCCCAGTTTCCCCTTTGAATCCGGACACCTGTCATATTGCATTAGCACACTTTCCGTGTGACCTCCTCCTAACTAATTACATCTGCAAAGACCCTGTTTCCAAAGAAGGTCACGCTCTGAGGTCCTGGGGGTTAGGACTTCAATCTATAAATTCAACCCATGACATTTCCCTCCAGTACAAAGGGCTCCTGAGCCCTCTGAACAGGGGACAACTTTCCCTAACCTTGGGTCCCAAGAGGTAAAGTCTATTCCTAATTTACTGCTGCAGGGAAGCCACCTTAACCGTGGTGGCTGAGACCGTGGTCATTTACTAGGTCCTGGTTCTGTGGGCTCAGCTGGGTGGTTCTTCTGCAGGTGTCCCCGGGGCAGCACGTGCAGCCTGGGGCTGGGTGGGGGGCAGGGCAGGGAGGTGGGGGGCTGGGCTGGGGCCGGATGGTCCAGGACAGTCTCCCGTGCGGGTGCAGTGTGACACTGATGGTGGCCGCACCTTGGTCTCTACGCAGCTTCTCACCCACTGGAGGGCCAGCTAGGGCTCCCTCTGTGGCGTCCTAAGGTCCGAGAGGGCCCCAGCTGAAGGGATGTGGCCTCAGAGCTCCTACAAGGTCCTCACACCAGAGTCTGACGGTCCAAGCGCGTCCCCGTGGCTAGGCCACCTCTGGAAGGGAAGCGCATGCCAGGCGGCAGGATACGGTGGGCTTGCCTCTCCCAGCAGGAAGCTCCACACCCCAGGCCCTCCTCCCCCTGCATGGCTGCACCGGGCATGTCAGAGGCGCTGCACTCAGTCCTGCGCAAGCCCCGCCCCCAGCCCAAGTCTGCACCTCCAGCCCTGATCAGTGCACCCGCCCGGGTCTACACCCCCAGCCCCTGTCTACATCCCCAGCCCTGGCCGGTGTGCACTCTGCTCTCAGGGCTTCAGGACTGTTGTGAGGTTAAATGAGATGCCAGGTGTGGGTCACCTTGCCCTGCCGGTGCCTGGAACAGCCAGAGCCCTCTTTCTCCCTTTCTCCTGCAAACATTGGGTCCCGGCTGGCCCTGGGCCAGCCCACCAGGAGCAGAGCCCCGTGGCCCGCTCCCACGGGTTGCTCTGACCCCAAGCTGGCTTCTCGGATATGACCCCCGTGCCCTTCTCTAATTTGTAAAGCAAACTCCGGGGAGGTGGGGAGGAGGGGTGCGGATAAGGACTCTTCACGGGCCGCTGGGTCCTCTCTGCTCCGTTCAGGACAGATTAGGTAGCCATCCATCAGCGGCCCCCACCAGGGACCAGAAGGAAAGAAAGCCGCCCCTCCCTCAGAACTCTCTGAGGAGGTCACTGGGCGGGGTGGGGTCCCCAGGCTGGCTAGGGGCCAGCCCCGCCCCACAGCTCCGGGACTGGGCACCGCGTCCCGCTGATCCTCGGGTCTTCGGAAGGCAGGGAGTTCCCTCTTTGGGGTCATTTGTTTCCGAATGTCCCCCAGAGACTGTTCCCTTGGGGAGGCGAGGCCCCTCCCTCTCCAGCAGCGGGGGTGGGGGGGGCAGTTAATGCCCAAAGGGCTGCAGACCAGCCTTTTGGAGTTGGGACCAGAAGAAGCTTCTGGGTCTGATATTTGCCCTCAGGTGTGAGCAAGGGCCATTAGGCCCCCTGGCCCAGCCCTGCCTCCCTCCCTCCTCCCTTCTCTGGCCAGGGCTCCGGCAGCTCCTCTGGGAGCCCAGGATGGTCGGAGCCGTGGGTGCACCTGTTGAGCGCCCGGACGACCACTCCCGCACCCAAACTCACAGACCCCTCCTGACACATATGGGCCCATCACAGAGCAGAGGAGCTGAGCGGCGACAGCCTGGCGGCGGGGGAGGGGGAGGGCGCAGCTCCGAAGCAGCCTCCCCGGGTGCTAGCTGAAGCTTCCCGAACACACTCTCCCACGGGCCGCGGGGCCGGTCCCGCTCCTGGTCCACGCAGCAGCCGCGGGGGCCGGCCGGGAACGGCGCCGGGTCCTGGGCAGTCGTGCAGGAGCGGACAGACGGGTGGAGACGGATCCCCACCGAGGAGGGCGCGGCTCTAGGGACCGGCTGGGTGAGCACGTTCGTGGCAAGGCAGGGGCCTTCCGGGCGGGGGGCCTGTGAGCGGGGCCTCAGGCGGGGCGCCCTGGGGCCCTAACGAGACAGGCCGGCGGCCCGACTCCCAGGACTGCGAATGTGACCTCACTCGGAAAAAGGGTCTTCGCAGGGGCAACTGATCATGTTGGAGATCCGCAGAGAGGTCACCCTGGGGTGAGGCGGCTCGTTCCTGGGGATCCTCGCGAGAGAAAAGAAAAGGGGACTGGATCACAAAGACGCACAGGGCGTGGGGGAGCATGAAGACAGAGGCGGAGAGGGGGCGACGTGGCCGCGACCCCGGGGCAGCAGAGCCAGGGGAAGGGTCCTGTGGCCGCATGACTTGGGACTGCGGCTCCCAGGCTCTGGGGAAAGACGTCTGGGGCTTGGGGCGCCGGTCTGCGGTCACCTGTGACAACAGCCCCGAGCGTCGCCCCAGGTGCCGGGCGCGGAGGTGAACCAAGGTGAGCGAGGGCGCCCTCCCGGAGGAGGGAGCCGCCCAAGGGGAGGACGCGGGATCCGAGCACAGCGAGTGCGGAGGGACGAGGGGCGGGGAGGGGCCCTGCGGGGCCCAGGCCGACGCCCCGCGTGCCCCAGACTGGGGGGCCCGGACACAGGGCTTCGGCCTCGGGCGTCCAGCCGTCCGGGCTCACGGCGTGGCCGGCAGACCCCGCCTCCTGCCGCGAGCTGGCCGAGTGGAGAGAGACGTTACCTCTGGGGTCCTTCTTGCGAGGACACTAACCCCCTGCGGGGACTGCACCCGCACGACCTCGCGGCCTCCCCAAGACCCCGCCTCCTGATACCTCCCACGGGTGTTAGGCTTCAACACACGTGGTCGGGGGAACGCACAACCGGGTCGTACCAGCCCCTCTAAGTAATCTGTGCCTCGCTGCCCCCCCGCCAGGCGTGCTGTGACCCTGGTTCCCAGGACTGTGACGGTCACTCGCTGTCCCTCAGCTCTGAGCCCCCCTTCTGCAGTCAGCTCCGGGACACTGGGGTCTGCGTCCCGTTCCCCTGGCCAGCTGGGTCCCTTCAGGCTCCGCCCCTAGGAGCGCTGGGGGCGTGGCCACGGGCAGGTCCCACCCCTTCCGGTCTGCTGCTTGCGTGTTGCCACGGCAACGCGCCTCCACCTGCCTGCCGGCTTCTCTTTCCCCTGAAGCCCTTGGGCCCAGTTTTTGGCTCACCCTCCCCCTGGACCAGTCTCAGGTCTGCGCCCCCTCCGAGGTCTGGGTCCCGCACTAGCAGCCCCTCCACGTCTGCCTGCTGGGTTTATTTTATTTAATTTTGTTCACGCTTATTTATTCATTTTCTAGAGACAGAGCATGAGTGGGGGAGGGTCAGAGAGAGGGAGACACAGAATCTGAAACAGGCTCCAGGCCCCCAGCTAGCTGTCAGCACAGAGCCCGACGCGGGGCTCAAACCCACGGACTGTGAGATCACGACCTGAGCCGAAGTCGGAGGCTCAACCGACTGGGTCGCCCAGGCGCCCCTGGCTACTGAGGTTAAATCACTCCTTCCTCTTTGCACCCCTGTCCCAGCGCTGGGGTGCTCCCCCTTCCCACGGCGGCGTCTCCTGGCCTCTTAGGGTCTTTTTCTGCCTTCCCAGGTCTCTGATGCCTGGTTAGAGGTTCTTTCCATGAAGCTCTCCCCGCTGGAAGAGCCGGTGTCTGCCCCGGGCGCCCAGCCTGAGAAGTGAGGAGAGAAGGGGACTCTGTGCCCCGGAGTTTGGGGAGTCCCGCCTCAGCCTGCTTTCAGGGAAGTCCCTCTCTGCGGTCTCGAGTGGTTCACCCGAGGTCTCTGGGAGGGGGCTGTCCAGCCTAGGGGTCTCCCAGAGCTGAGTAGTCACCGCGTGAGGAGCCCTTGAGGAGCCCCGCCGGACCCCAGGTTCCACGGAGCTCATCTCGGAGACTCGGGGCTGGATTTGGAGGCCACGGGACAGGTCAGCTGGGAACATTCATCCTGGAGCCCAGCAGGTGTTTGCTGCTCCGCTGCCCCCCCACCTCCGGGGCTCTCGGCCACTGTGAGGAGTGCCCCCAGGGCTGGCACATGTGCAGGGGGGAGGCCCCCTCTCCCACACAGCCCATCCCCGTGCTGGGGGCTCTGACAGCTGCAAGCTGAGGCCCACCGTGGGGGGCACCTCCAAGGCCAGGGCTCCCTCTTGGGCAAGGCAGGAGGACCAGGGCTGGCCTTCCCCTCCCCGCATCTCTGAACAAGAGCAGACGGGGGACCTGCGAGGTGTCCTAGAGGCTGACACCTTGCATTGCGCAGCCAGCCCCGGACAGCTGCCGGGCGGCCCCGCGGGGCCAAGACGGGCCGCACTCAGCCCAGGCTCAGTGAGTCCATCCCAGAGACAGGACCCAGGTCCCCTCCCCCGAGCGCTGTGGGATTCGGGGTCCACGGCTGCTTTGCTTCCAGCCCAGTCCTCATGGCTACAGAGTGGGCTCGGCGATCCTTCCCCAGGTTTTTGGGGTGCATAGTGACAGAGGGTCAGCACCTCCAGGAGGCTGGTTCTACGTGCCCCCCACAATTCTGTGGCTCTGGAGTTGGGGGAGCACATCTTTTTAAAACACAAAAAATAATGATAAACAATACCCAGAAGTCTCTGCTTCCTCCAAAAGGAAAAAAAAAAACATAAGAAAATAAAATCGCTCTGAGCAAACTTACTCTTTATGCAGGGAAATGGCTTTACCTCCATCAAAAGATACTTTCCCTTAAATATCATTAACGCGTTTCCAGACAGGAGAAATTTACTGCTGTTACCTGTGGACCACTATTATGCTAATCTCAAATCTAGAGCCAAAAATATGCTCTGACAACAATATGGATGCTTTTCTTTCTAGGTTGCCTCCCACGTGTGATCAGCAGATGCAGACCGAAGTGCTTTTAGCTCCTAAGGTGTGCTGGAAAGTGCCAGAATGTGGTTAAAACCACGGGCCGGGATGATGTGAACTGGGGGGAATGTCATCCGTCTGGCTTCCTGCTGCCCACCTGCTTGCCTCAGGGACCCCCACCTCCTTCTCGCTGCCGGCTCCTCCTGAGACCCAGGTGCCCCTCTGAGAATCCCTGTCCTCAGCTCACCAGATGCCCCACCTCTTCCTTACCCGCCTCACTGTCCCTTCGAGTTCCAAAGGCTTTTCATCCATGCACTGGGTCAGCCCGCACTGAAAAGAGCTGCCTGGTGCCTGCAGTGCTGGGGGGTAGGCAGCAGGGACTTGGCCCCTCCCCCCTCCCCCCTCCCACAAAGATGGTGAGGGGACTGAGCAAGGGAGGCTGGCTTTGCCCAAGGGAGCGGAGACTCTCCCTGCACAGAAGGTACTTCTGACTTCCTAGGGGGCCGGTAGAACAGTCGAGGCAGAGAGAAGGTCCCGGAGGCCAAGACACGGAGGTGTGGGTGGGCTTAGCCCCTCCTGGGCCTGCCAGGAAGGGAAGGGCTTGCAGGAGGAGACGGAGGGGAGGCGGGGCGGGCAGTTGGGGCCCCATTTGCTGGGCGACCTTGGGAAAATCACTTCGCCTCTCTAGGCCTTGGTTCCTGCCTTCTGAAATGAAGAGAGCACGAGGGTGCAATCCAGAGGCCACGACTCCCACTCAGGAAGGGCCTTGGCTGCTCGCTCGCCGCTTTTCTAGAAAGGTCGCTGAAGATTGGCGCACCCCAGGCTTGCAGTGGGGAGTCCTGGATGCAGGGAGGGCGGACGCGGGTGTAGCGTTTGGCGGGGAGCACGGGGCTGTTCGGAAATTGCTGCCTGAGATTCCAAACCCTTCTGCGTGAACTCTCCCAAAAAAGTGCTCAGTTGAAAAAAGCCAGGCTCCTTCGTGGGGGAAGTTTTCAAACCCTCCAGGTTTCCCTGGTAACGCCCGTTTGCATGCAGAACGGGAAGTGACCTCACGGGGCACCCAGGGCTTCTAGAGACCTCTTCCCAAGCGCAGACCCCGGGAGAAGGGTTAACAGCCCTGCCATGTTCTCGTTAAATCCGTCTTGTTCCGCCCTAACTCCGAGCTTGCACATACTTTTCAGTGCATTGAACCGGGGCCACGGTGATTTGTTTTTCCCGGACTCATTTCCATTTAAATCTGCTGCCCTTCGAGCCCCGGGTCTTGCATAATGCAAGAGCTCTTGAAGTGAAATCAATCGGAGCTTGAAGGAAATGGATGTGTATTCACGTCTTCTGGGGGGCTTTCTGCCCAGCACCTCGGAGCTCATGGTGTTCAATCCCTGATGGCACGAGTGTGCCCGTGCCCGCATGTGCAGAGGCTGGGCGGCACAAGGCAGTCGGTGTCCCGGGTTCAAATCCCCTTCTTCCTGCTGCTGTGCGGCCTTAGTGACTTCCCTGACCTCCCTGTGCCTCCCTTTCCTGATCAATAAGCAACAAGCAGGGTGGCCCCTCATCTCACCAGGCTGCCAGGGAACTCAGTCATCAGGTTTGCAGAAAAATCCCCCTCTACACCCCCCTCCCCCTCCCCGTGTGGAGTCAGGAAAGGGCGATTTATCAGGAAAGGGCGATTTATCTTGGGCGCTGCCTCCTCCCAAGGGAACTGAATGTCCAAAGTCAGGTGCAAGTTCGGGGCGGTGGGCCCCGTGTCGTGTGGCTCTGGCTGGGTCCAGGCTGGGGCCCATGCACTTTCCAACCTCCCACAGCCCAGCTGGGGGGCAGGGAAGCCAAGTCGGGGTCTGGCCGCAGGTGGGGACTCACAGGTGGGGACTCAGCTGTTTTGGAGGCTGGGGTTGGACCACCCGGCTGGACCTGGGACTCTAGGACCCAGGAAAGCTGAGCCGGGAAGGCGCTCAGGCCCACAGCGCTGACACACACCCATCAAAACCTCCTAAGTTCCTGGAACTCGGGAAACCAATGGCCTGACCCGTTTTCTCTGGCTGAGCTGGGGCTGGGTCCCCAGATGAGAGAAGAAAAGCCCCTGGAGGTGCAGGTAGGATCAGGGCATGCTGTGGGCACCCTTACCGGCTCTGCGGCTCACGTCAGGGCACACTCAGGTATCGGCTGCCCCTGAGGCAGGTCTCCCTTACGCAGAGAGGAGTTGATGCCTCTGCCCCGTGGGTGAGGGGGCCTGGCTGTGGATCTCTGCAGAAGCTTCCGGAGACCCACGGGGTCCCTGAGTCCACAGCATCGGGCCTGAGCACCACCAGCACCCAGCACTATCGAGAGGTCTGGGGCATTTCTCCGTTCCTGGTCCCCGACTCGGACTGAGAGCATGCTTCCGGCACCCCCTCCCCCCAGGAGGCCACACCTGGAGGCCACATGATCTCCGTCATTGTCCGGAGAGGCCAAGTCCCAGCATGGAGAGGGGAACCCAGACACCCACAGGGGCGGCTGGACGCCGGTGGCCCTGAGGCCCATGTAATCACATGAAAAATTAAAAAATCACATTGAAAACTAGAGAGACAGCACTGGTTGCTTTTGGTTTTATTTTTAACGTTTATTTATTTTTGAGAGAGAGAAAGGAAACACAAGGTGGGGGGAAGATCGGAGAGAGAGAGGGAGACACAATGTGAAGCAGAATGGGAAGCTGTCAGCACAGAGCCCGACGCGGGGCTGGAACCCACAAGTGGGAGATCGTGACCTGAGCCAAAGTCGGGTGCTTAGAAGTCAGCTGCTTAGAAGTCAGAAGCTACTGAGCCACCCGGCCCCGCCCCTCATGCTTGTTTGTTTGTTTGTTTGTTTGTTTGAAACAAACCGACCGTATGCCCCGGCAGCGGCTGGCTTGGGCTCCCTGAGGCCTGGGAGGCTCCGTGGTGAGCAGCCCTTGGTGCGTGTGCCTCCACCTCCGTGTTCACAGTGAATCTGCCCTTGAATCTGGTTTGCCAGACCCCGCCAGGCACCCTTCTGCAGCCCATGGCCCTCCAGGTCTCCAGGCAAGCAGGCAGGACCGGGGTTGCGGGGGGCTCTAGGACTGGGCACGGCCCTGCCCAGCACCCCACCTCTTGTGCCCAGTGGGTTGTCCCTAAGCCCACACCTCCCAGCCTGCGCTCAGCTGCACTGTCACCCCCCGGGACCTGGGAAGGTTGGCCTAGGCTCAGCCCCGCTGGGAGGGACCCAGGGCAGCTTGGCAGGGGCCACAGCCCGTGGCCTCAGAGCCGAAGGGAAGGCAGGGAAACAGACTGGAGGGGGTTGAGGGGAGGCCTGGGAGCCTGGCCACACACAGGCGTGCCCAGTGTCCCTGTCACTAGCCCAGCTGGCGCTGCTCTGGAGCCCCCAGTGCAGTCGAGGAGGGCAGCCCACAGGCCACCTGGGGGGCCGCCAGCAGCCCCAGGACAGAGCACTTGGTGCGGGAGCCAGAGGCCTGGGAGAGGACCTGGGGGGCTCGGGGAGGTCCTGGGGGGCTCGGGGGGGCCAAGGGGGGCTCAGGGAGGTCTTGGGGGGCTTGAGGAGGTCCTGGGGAGCTCGGGAGGGTCCTGGGGGAGCTCAGGGCTCAGGCCCAAGGCCTGAGGCAGGGCTGGCTTCCCACGTTCTGGGGACCCAGACAGTCACACAAGGCTCTGGCCTTCTTCCCTGTCACTGCCTGGAATGTCATGATGGTTATTAATTTTTGAACAAGCGGTCTGCATTTTGCCACAGAATTGTGCAGCCACAGAGGCCTGGAGAAGAGGGAGCCTCAGATCCCAGGGCCTGGGGCACAGCTGGGCCTCCCACTCTGTGCCCGAGCCACCCAGGCAGGATGGATGGGCGGAGGGTCTCTGCTCCTCAGCCAGACTAGGCCTGCCACGTACCCCTCCCCCCCAAGCCGCTTCTGCAGCCCCCCCCCGGCGGGTAGGGGGTCAAGGCTGGGCGGGAAGGTTAAACAAGCAGAGGGTGAGGGGGGTGGGGCAGCGCGGGGAGAGTATCGAGTCCCCAGCTCCCAGGGGGTCCTGCTGGGGGAGAGGAGGTCATCGGGGGAGCAGGATGGGTGGGGGGCGGGGTGATCAGCGCAGAGTGCGGGGCACCAAACGCAGTTCAGGGCCCGGGCGCGGCCTGGGTAAGACCCAGACAACCCCGCGGGCTGATGGGGGCGAAGACGGCAGCCGGCGGGGATCCAGGCCCCGGCCAGAGTCTGTGCGGAAGCTCCCAGAACCACCCCGGAGGTGCCCCTCGGAGTGCTGCGTTGAGAGCCAGCCGAGACCGAGGGCAAAGGCCGGACAGGGGCGTTAAGGTGGGTCTTTGCTTTTGCTGCTGATGCTTAAAGCGAAAGGTGCTGACCCACAGCACCGGCCGTGCAGGGGCGCGGTTGCAGGTTGCTGCGGGCTAGAGGGAGGCACCGGGGCTCCCCACTACCCAAACCCGGGGACGGCCTATGCTCGCTAGCTCCCCCTCCCCCCCCAGTGTCCGCTGGGGTCTGCAGCCTACACGTCTGGCAGTGCATTGAAGACAGTATCTCTCCCTGAGGTCTCCGGTGAAACGGGGGGTGGGGGGCAGTCTGCAGGCTCCCCGGCCGCCGCTGGGCCTCTTTATCCCCTCTGCTAAGACTCAGTTTCTCCATCTGGGAATGGGCACCCAAGGCGGCCCCTGGCAGAGTGGCTACGGGGCAGGAGGGCAAAGGTAAGGGACGAGATCGCTAATGCCGGATGCCCCGAGCGCCGCTGGCTCCAGCGAAGGCCCGAGGCCAGGTGGGGGAGCATCCAGACCAAGTGGGGAGCGTGCATTCTTGGGACCGCAGGGCCAGAATCCTGCCCCAAAGGCGCAAAAGGCTGGGAGGGCGGCAGCGGCCCAAAGGGGCGGGGAAGGGGGCGCTGGGGGGGAATCTGGGGGCTGGCGCAGGAGGTCGTTTCCTGGGGCGGCTTCTGTCTCAACGCTTGCGCTCCGCCCGGCCTCATCCTGACTCCCAGCCGCGCGCCTGGCCGCGGGGCGCAGTCCCGGGACCGCCCTTCCCGCTTTGTGCCTGCGCGGAGCCGGCGCTGGGGCTCCCGGGACCGGTGCTGGGCGCCCCGGGAACTCACCACCGCGGTGCGCCCCCGCGCGCAGTCACCGGCCTGCGTCCCGCGAGCGCGGCCAGCTAATTGCCGGGCTCCTCCGCCTCACCTTTGCTGAAAGACTCGAGCAGGCTCTTTCTGGAACGAGGCGCCGACCTAAGGGGTTGAGGGCAGTTATCCTCTCCAACTGCATCAGGAGCGGGGGCGCGGCCACGGGGTCCTCCCGGAAGAGCACCCCGAAGTCCAGGGAAATCAAGAAAGAAACCCAGATACGAGGACAGAGGCGCCAGACCCTGCTTAAAATACGCGCAAACGCTGCAGGCTGGGCAGATGGAGGGTTTGAGGGCTCGTGGATTCTCGGATTCGCGCAGGTAACCCCCTCCCCGCCCCCGCCGCCCCCCTCCTAAGTCCCGGCCCAGCCGCCCCTGTGCGGCCCCTGCGCGGGTGGGCGCCGGGTGAGGGGCCTGCCCGGCTTGCTTCTTCCCATGTAGCTGCGACTTGAGTCCCAGCGATCCCGCCGGGCCGGTGTCCAGAGAGGGGGGTGCTTTCGGGTTAGGCCAGTGACCGCGCGAATGGTCAGCGCCTTCTGCAGCCGCCTGTGTTCGAGGGGCGACCTGGCGCTCCGCGTGCCGAGTCTCCGTCTTGGCTTCCGTGAAATGGGCTAACAGGGCCTCCTGGGCATAACCCGGGGGCCTTCGGCGCCAGCGCAGGGGCTTCCCGGGTTTCTCCCGCTTCCCCCTTCCCCACCCCCCACCCCACCTCCCCTAGCCCGGGAGGGTCTGGGACCGAAGCAGGCATCCCCACCCACAACCGGATGAGTCCCCGGTTGGCTTTCCCAGCCGGGCTCCCAGACTCAGCCCCGGTCGGGGAACATGTCCAAGGAGCCGAGCTGGAGGCCTGAGCTGGGACAGAAGAGCTAGGCGGACGTGGTGCAGGCTGGAAGGGCTGCCTGGAGGAGACGATGCGCAGACTGCGCTGGGAAGGTTAGTCCCTGAGGCTGAGTGCACCTTCCCACCATCCCTCCTTCCCAGTGTCCCCTGGGTCCCCTCTGCTTCCCACTAAGGACACTGGCTTCCTGGCAAACATGTGGCACCAGCTGGGACTCACCCCTGCAGTCAGCAGATATTTGTGGCGCATCTTCCAGTGTCTAGCAAGGTTCTAGGCCCAGAGGATCCGCAGTGACTAAAGCCGGGCTGCCCTGGGGGGAGGGGGTTGGGCGGGGTGGCAGGTAGTAGGCACACGGTAGGGTGTGAGGGCCCCGAAGGTGCCGGGGCGGGAGGAGGAGGCGTCTGAGCTGGGCCAGGGTGACAAGATCCTGATGCCATGCAGGGGGTGGGGTCGGTGGAGTAGAGGAAGCACAGGATTCCGTGTCACTTGCGAGGCTGGTGGGGGTGGGGGAGGAACGGGTCACGAGGTGACTGCCAGGCTTTGGGAGGCAGATCCAGAGGCAGGGGCCGCAGGGCCTTCCCCAAAGCGGAGGCGCTGACTGCTGCGCACGCATGCGTACAGGGAGATGCCTCAGGACCGTGGGGGC